GATGACCAAGTGAGAATGCAAGCAGTTCTTGTTGCCTGCGATATTTCCTGCTCAAACCTGAAGCATGTTCCACCAAATTTAATATCTCAAGCCACTGAAAGGCTCCGGGATGAAAAGGCATGTATGTCCTGTTGAATTTTTTTGCATGCTGAAGGACAAAATACATAATTCCTAACTAATAAAAATTCTTTTCTAGATATCTGTTAGAAAGAGAGCATTGCATAAGTTGATTGAAGTATATCAAGATCATTGCAAGAAATGTTGTGAAGGCAGCATGACAATTAGTGATCACTTTGAAGAGATTCCATGTAAAATTTTGATGCTTTGCTATGATAAAGATTGTAAGGAGTTCAGGTCAGCCTATGCACTCTAAGATTGCCAGTTAAATCAAAATTAGATTTCTCTTATTATCAGACGTAAATGTTTTTTGTAACAGTACGTAGTACTCCGGTATGTTATCATTACGTATGATATTAAGTGCAGTTACAATCATAGCAGTTCATTTAAAAATACGGCTAAACTTTTTTTTTAAACTGTGCACTTTTCGTTTAAAATCATTACCGTATTGAAAATAATCGAAAACTATAATAATAACAGAGTAACATTGTGGAATATTTAAACCTAGCTTAAACATATCATACAAATCCTATTAGACACTGCTATGAGGTTCTCATACACCCCACAATCTTACTTTATATTTTCAGCAACTTATGCTGCTCGCTTAAGCGAGCTTCTCAGCAAGCAAATCGCTTCCTCTAGTTGCACTGCTCGCTCGAGCAATTAATTCCTCAAGCAGTAGCTATTGCTCAGGTGCTATGTTTCCTTGCTTAAGTGAGCTCACCAGTGAGCACTCCTCTGCTTCAAACTTGGCTTCTGTTTCCAATTTAATTAGCTCGTTGGCTTTCAAGAAATTTCTAGAAAAGATGGAGAAGAAAAAGCAGAAGAGGAAGATGAAGAAGAAGAAAAGGCACATGAGGATGACTCCTCATCCCCTTCCCCTTCCCACTCCCGTATCTCGCTATGTGTTTTGTTACATTTGTTTATGATTAACTTTATTATTGATACATTTTTGTAATTGTTAGTAATTTACTTTTAATTATATATATTTGGACTGCTTATGTATTGTTGGACTGTTTGTACTGTTGGATTGTTTATAAGGTGGAAATTAAATTATTTTAAATATATTTTGTAATAAATTTGTAATTTTATGATGGAAATTATTTAGATATTCGTCGCAAATGTTTGCTGCTAACTGCGACGGCATACGTAATTCGTCGCCTGTTGCTACGGTACAAGCAATACATTCCATCGCAAATAAAGTGTTTATTTTACGATCGTAATACATTTCCATTGTTGTCTGCATCGAAATTACATATATATTCCGTCGCAAACAAACGATGGAAGTTTCCCTAATTTATCACCGCACACTCTGCGATGGCTTTTTAGATACATTTTTTATGCAAAATTATGATGGTTAAGTTTGCGACGTTTCTGCGATGGTATTTTCGGATGTAAATTGCGATGGCTTGAAGTGCATTTTTTTTGTTCCAGTTACTCTTTCGCTACAGTATACTCCGGAATTGTGATGAAAATTTGTCATTGGAAATGGTTTCAGCCAAAATATTATTGCAAATTCCCTTTGCGTGACCTTTTTCACCGAGAATCTTTTTTCGTCGCACAATTCATCATAAACTGAAATTGCGACAATTTTTGGATGCTTTGCGACGGTATTTGGCCTTCGAATATCCATGTTTTCTAGTAGTGTGATTTAGTGACTTGACAAATATAATAACTCTCGCATGTAATTGTGGATTTAATTATGGGTTAATGACTTTATCACAATACTAAAGAATAATTAGAGGGAAAAGTATAAGAAAAAGAAATGTTAATAAGGTGTAAATGAAAAGGGTGGAAAATGTCTCCGGTGATTCAAAATATAGACGAAATGTTATCTGTTTTATTTTGGCAAATAAAGTGATAAAGTTTGCAATACATAAAGAAAAAGAAAAAGTTAATCAGATTTTCATACTAGGCCTAGCTAGGGAATTAGAAAAGAGCTTCCGCGTTTAATTAATTAAGTTGAGCATGTTGTGTGTAACATCCCAAGAGCTGGCAAGGGCAGGGAGTGATCGCCGGTGCGAAAGGGCACGGACAATGAGCGGCTCATGCCAAATCTTGCAGCTTGGGGGTTCATGAATGAATCGAATCAACACCCGAAAAAGAGGGATTCCAGAGACTGTGCTGGTATGGGACGGTACAGTTAGGAATGACTTATAAGAATTGATTGGTACTACCTATACTAACAAGATGCATCTACTTTTTGGTAGCCCGGATCGGAAGTTGGAGCAATTCTGGGATGGGTGACCTCCTGGGAAGTTTTCCTGGGAAGTATGCGAGTGAGGACAAAGCACACTGAAAAGTCTCGTGTTAGTGTGTGGGGACAGTAATTGATTCTTGCAAGTGGCCGGGCGTTACATCATATAAATGTTGGGTTCGTTTTTTCTGCAGTAAGCCAATACGACGTCGTTTTGGGACGAAAATCATGGTGTTTTTGTAATTTTAATTTATTTTAGGGTTATAATAGTCTTTATATTTATAATTTTTTAAGATTTTAATACTAAAACGATGTCGTTTTGAAAATAAATGCAGATAACTTGTCTGCATTAACTGCGGAAACATTTTTCTCATAAATGTTACTTAATCGGCTGCAAACGAGGCGTTACAACAGAGATTTATATCTGGTGACTTGACATTCATAAAACCCATATATACAACCTATAAGCTTTTATAAGTGCCAAGTCAGTGAATATAAGCTTTTGTGAGTGTCAAGTTATTGGATATAAGCTTTTGTCAAATCACTAAATTATAACCGTACAAAGGTGGATTAATAGTGATAAAGTAAGAAAGAAAAAAAGAGAATCATAATCATACAAAAATAAATCAATTAATATAAGAAAATAAATAAACAAAACAACTTAATTTAATCGTGGCTGGACAATGAAATGACATAACATCGAATTCGATGCTCCCGTGCATTAAAGTTTTTCTCGAATTTAGGAGGCATGTATTCAGAAGTCGTGGTAGAAACGTACTTGCTGCTAAAAAATGTTTATGATTGAAGATCCACATTTCTCATTGGTAAATTTTTGTCTGCTAGCTTTGAGGTTATAGATGTATGGAATAATTAAGCCTTGTTGGCTGTGTGTAAACTCAGATGTCATAATTTTGCCTACTTTCAATGGATCAAAACAAATTGGGGATGACAGGGATCTTTAAGGCCACCACTAAAATACCTTGATAGGAACACACACACAACACCCAAACAGTAACTATTGTCAGTGGTAATGGATTAGTCGTGTAAACAGGGAAATGTAGCAATGACGCACGGCTAATAGTAATGTGATGGATGGAAACATGGGACCATGGAAAAGCACCACCCAAAAATAAAGTGAAAAGTGCACTTAAATTATATATATATATATATATATATGCATGGTGCTACGCATAACACAAACCTGAAAATAATCGTTTAAGGGCTGAGCATATTGTGTATATTTGGAAAACAATATTACTTAACCAAGATATAAATTAAACTAATGTTAAGCATTCACCTAACAAGAAGTGGTTAAGTAATGGTCATGATTGGTTTTATAGTGATGATTTGATTATCTGTTTCTATCTGTCAAATTGCGCGACACACAACAAAATTTTGAGCCATGATCTCAGAAACATTTTTAGTGATGATTTGATTATTTGTTTCTTCCTGTTTTGACTAGTTTAAAAAAGTTGGTGCAGGCCACCATTGCACAACTTGCGAGTTTTGATAGCATGCTCTGTCCCGTTTCAACCCATCTGCATGTGGTTTGTGGCGTGCTTCTTTCTGTTTTGATAGCATGCTCAGAAGTCGTGGAAGAAACATACTTGCTGCTAAAAAAATGTTAATGTTTGAAGATCCACGATTCTCATTGGTAAATTTTTGTGTTGAGGTTATAGATGTATGGAATAATTAAGCCTTGTTGGCTATGTGTAAACTCAGATGTGACAAGCACATACACCTAACCTATCAAATATATACAGAATCGTGCAAGTCATAATTTTGCTTACTCAACGGATCAAAACAAATTGGGGATGACAGGGAACATTAAAGGTCACCACTAAAATACCATGATAGGAACACACACATCACCCAAACAGTAACCATTGTCAGTGGTAATGTATTAGTGGTGTAAACAGGGAATGTAGAAATGGCACACGGCTAATATTAATGCCATGGACGGAAACATGGGACAGTGGAAAAGCACCACCCAAAAATAAAGTGAAATGTTTACTTAAATTGTATTTACTTTTGATATTTCTTAAGAGAGAGTCTTAGGCAATCGGAGTAAAACACACCTATAATTTTGTGTCATTCAATATTACCTATTAGGAATCTGAATTTGATTCTCTTCATTGTAATGCTGTTCGGTAATGGAGGCTTAATGGAATTGCTGCCAACATATATAGACCCACCTCATTATGAAATAGTCGAATATTAGGCATATATAAAACAAAATTGTTATGGTACCACAATTATTACAAAATTAGCTAGTGGCATGTACGATCATCCATCAATCATTCACTTCCAATTAATATTCTATTCCTTTTGTAAATGTAATCTTTGCTTTAGCATATATAATAGGCTAAGAAGCAGAACATGAAGAAAAAAACCGAAAGAGAAATATAAACCAAAAAAAAAAAGAAAACTGAAAGAGAAACTGAAGAAAGAGTATAGAAAGGACTACAACTGAGACAAAAGCATTAATTCATTATTTTGCTTATACCGAAGTTTCCGAAACATGAAAAAAAAAAAAAAAAAAAAAAAAGTTAAAGGAAAACAAGAAAGGTGCATATTAAAATGCAGCCAGTAAAGGCAAGCATTTGGAAAGATTTGTACACTGCACAAAATCTCTCATGACCTCATCAGTTTAATAGGAAAATTGTAATGCTAGTCCTAAAGGACCTTATGATCTTGTTGAAGATAGGACATTATTTCCTACCCCCTTCATCTCAACAGGAACATTGACCTCAATGTTGTCAAAATTGTCTGATCCTGATCGTGTACCATCCTTTATAGGCAATTCTTGGACTTCACTTTTCCCTCCACCTGTGGTGTTCAAACTGTCTTTGCTTTTTCCCCATACCACAGTATAAAGTCCACAGACAATGATAATAGCTCCAATTATACTGTTAAACACAGAAGAAGAAAAAAACAAAATTAGCAAATGCATTGATCAACTAACACATTTGTATTTTGGCTTGCTTAGTTTTGAAAGAGAAAGACTATATCAATAAAACATTGCAAACCTTCCCAGACGAACTTGCTCAGCCAAGATAATGGAACCCAATGCAGCGGTGATTATCATACATAGAGGGCTGAAAGAAGTCACAAACACCGGTCCACGTTCTCTTGTCACAACTCCTTGTATATAATATGCCATTCCAGAACACACCACCCCCTACATATATCACAAATTCAGTATTAATTGGTTAGTTGAATCATTAATCACCATAATTTTGTTTTTAGTTCTGATAAGTTTAATTAATTAAGCTAAGTAGTCTCAAGGATTTCAAGGCTACTTAATGAACTATAAAGTAAATACAACATGTGGGGTACATCAGCATGAAAAAGGTACTCACAGAATAAACACAAGCGAGAAGCCTTGAGTCCCAGCCTATGGACCAAACACTCATGTCACGTTCAAATATAAGTGATGCAATTGCACCCTCAAAAATACCCAAAAAGCAAATCCAAGATGTCATCGAGAGCTCTGCTGGGTACATCTTCAAAGTGAAAGACTAAAATCCACAAAGTAGTAACACAAGTTACATATTAGTTAACAACTTTATTTTATTTTTCTTTTTTGGTCATATAAAAAAAGAAGAGTATGAATGTAAATGTTCATGAATAGTAGGCTATACTTGCAAGATAAAGAAGCTAGCCCAACCACCACAACTTGCTATAAGCATCAATGTGCCTAGAACCCAGTGTTGGTCAGAGGATTCGGTGCTTGCACTGCCATGATTTGCTGCTTGACCCTTTATGATTTGAAGGGCAGGGCCTTTATACAAAGTCATAACCATGGCTCCTGACACTGTTACCGCGGTTCCAATTACTTTGGCTATGCTGTGTATTTTTTTCAAGTTTACTGTCTCTAACCTGGTTAAGAGATTAGAAGAATCTGATTAGATATGATTCAAATAGCAATGGACTACGACATTGCAACAAAGCTTTAATATAAATACGAATATTCTTAGATTGTGAATATAACACAAGCTGCCATTAATATTATATATGGTGAAGTGATTGAAGCTTTTAACTACCTGAAAGCGAGTGCCATTATAAAAGTAATGGCTGGGAGGACATTAACGGTGGCCGATGCAAACGTTGTTGAGGTCATCTTCATCCCCATGTTGTACAAGTTTTGATCAAGCACTGGCCTGTTAGATTTCATCACCAACAAAGTTATTATCAGACCACAAATTCTGTAGAGAAAACTAATTATATATTATATAATCTGTAACATTATACAATTTTGTAGGGATTAGATTAAATCATAACCAAATCCATGAAAAAAATAAAATGAACTAGGTATCAAGTACGGTATATCTTTAAAGTACAAAATATGTGCCAATTACCTACTTTGGCTAGATGAAGAGTCCTTGTTGCCTCAGGTTATAATTGGTTAGATGAATAACATGTACTTAATCTCTATATATGTCTTATTCTCTTCATACTAAGCTTTCATTTTTAATAGTGTTCAGTAATATTTTTCTTCAGATAATAACACTAGTGTCTAGAGGCAATAATCTGGCCCTGTGTGGACCATGTTACCACCGCAACAGGAACATGCTATCCTTTCTGTGGTCGATTAATTAAAAAATAAAATAAAAACTAACTAATATTGATGGTAGGTGAGAAATGAAATCTTGATTGGAAACATTGCATTTTGTTAATTAATTAATTTTGTGGTTGGTTGCTTTCTTATGATGTGTCCACTAAAAATGGTGGGCCAATATGAAGAACCACTATCGAGTCGCCGCATTTCTGTGATATTAATAATATAATTAAGGAAAAACTTCAAAAAAAATCCTATTACTTTCGTCATAATCACTTACCTCCTCATAAAATTTTGAATCATTTATTCTACTGACTTAAATTTTTTTTATCATTTATCCCCCTAAGTGAGGGGATAAGTGACAATAAAACTTTAAGTCAGGGGATAAATAATAAAAAAAATCTAAATAAGGGTGTAAGTGATTCAAAAAATTTATAAGGAGGTTAAGTGATAATTAAGAAAACTCATAGCGATTTTTTTGAAGTTTTTCCTATAATTAAATATAAATAATACCTTATAGAAATAAAAAATAATACTATATCATTATGATTACTATTTTTTTGGATATATTATTATGATTACTATTATTATATAGAATATATAATATACAATAATAGTTATATATAGAATTAAGAATAAGAAAACTCGTATAGGGTTCAAAATGATAATAAAAAAAAGACTTATTATGAAATAAAAAAAAATAGGAAATTTCCCTAAATAAGACGGAAAAATATTTTTATGGAATAATTAATTTTAGAGATTATGGATAATGCAGAATATGCTTTAATTTCTTTAACGATTTGGTTTTCAATAAGACACATGATAGAACCGATTAGCAGGCTAACAGCTAAATTAAAGAAAAACACAACTAGCTAATGTCTCACATAGTTGGGGATTTCCCAACAAGCAAGAATATATATAGATTTATCATATATTCAGTAAAAATGAATATAATATAAAGGATAAGGGCATCCATTATACGCATAGCTAGAAAAGCATGCATGGAGAACAAGTCCGGTAGCTCAATTGATAGTAGTGCAAAGTAAAGAGATCGACCCCACGTAATATTTTTTAGAGGGACTTAAATTAATATTTTTATCCTTAACCCACCGTGTATTTCGGATTAGTCTTATAACTGACTTGAAGAATTGAAACTTGTGGAGACATCAGAAGGAACAGACTCGTTTCAAAGAGATAATTAAGATAAGATAACTCAAAAAAAAGAAGAAAAAAAGCATGCATGCATGTGTACTTCAAATATTTATGATACGGGCCCATTAAGGGACTTAGAACTGAGAAGAAACAAACAAAATGTATGATTCGATACTGCGAATATATTGATTATGTGGAGAGAGTTCGAAGAGCCTTACTCAAGGAAACCGAGCGCCGCTAATCTCAGGAAGATGGGGAGAGTCATCTTTGGCCGTACTTTTCTGTAAAAATGAAGAATCAGAATGATGAATGAAAAGTTAAAATAGCTAGCAAATTAAGGGAACGAACAAAAAAAAGAAGCTCTGCTTCATGTACGTGTAAGTTGTGTGGTGGAGAGAGAGAGAGACCTTTCGAGGACAAATGCAAAAGGGGCCATGATAAGAGTGGCAACTACATGACGGTACACGGAGAGTACCCAATGGCTCATGCCATGTTTGAATGAAACCATGGTGATGATATACATTCCGGCGTAGCCAAACTGAAGGGACACCATAGCAAGGTAAGGCTTCAACTTGCGGAGCACCTTGCTCAACCCATGACCTGCATTTTGATCCTCCATCTCTATGTCTATGTAAAGCTACACACTGGGGCACACAGAAAGCACACACACACACACACAAACTCACTAAGGAACTAGCTATGTGTTGTGAGTTGTGAGTTGTGAGTTTGTGGATGATGTACTTTAAAACGAGGAATGGCCTTCTTATAGACCCAAAAAGCAAAAATTTAAAAAGAAGCCCCGGTTTTCACAATAGCTCATAGCACTAACTCTCTCACTTCAGTTTTCACCCGCCACATATTCCCTTATCCATTAAAGAGAAAAGCATATTCCGATTGAGCAATTACTAGAATAATATAATATGTGTATATTATGGAAAACAAAAGTAAACCACTTTGGTACATGCTTAATTTTCTTTAAATTAAGGTCTTGGGTTCAAATCTGTATGAATGTAAAAAAAAATTTTTGGGAGAATTAGCCTCACCATGACGTGAATATTTCAGACTCGAACAATAATATTATCTCTCATAAATGATACATGTGGTTTATAAAAAAGAAAAAAGAAAAAAGCAAGTGACGTTTTATTTGTATCTCTATAGAAAATTATTCATGTCCTCTAATTAAAAACTTTCTTTCTTTCTTTTACTTTTTCTTTTATTTGTTAATGGGAAGTGGGTGTTTGATTTTACTGACAACCAAATGGAAATAGAGTGCTTAGTCATGATGCATGCAAATTAATGTTTATGATCCTACGTGGGGTTAAGTGAGAATAATCAATAATGGATCCATGGCCTACATATGTGCACACCACTTAGAAAGATAGAAGAGTGAAAAATCACCTAGTTAGGGCTTTCACCTATCTATTTACAATGTGCATAGCCTATGGTATGTCTATTTCTCACAAGAAGAAAAATGCACATACGAAGTTACTCATCTCGATCCATATAAGGAGTATGTCATACTCCTCAATCATTAACGTGCAATAAATTATCTGAATTGAACATATATATATGTATCACATTCACGCTATCTACTATATTATTGAGAACACATTATTATCAATACTATCTGTTGGATATTTCAACATCTAATTTAATAAGGCTATGCGTTATATATTTGGTTTGTCATTATTTTACAATTACATTGTGTCTCTAAGCGAAAGCTGATGTAACACGAGTCATGATCAACTATATAAACTCTAATGGGAAAACTAGGTTATAAATCGTTGCAAAATTAGTGCGAGTGACGTGGGTAGTCATTCACGAGATACCGCAAAATGATAGTGGATGGTTTGGAAAGACATGTACATATATAGAATAATGCATGTTTCAACGTCAGATGGGTCACACTCATTTAATTTAAAGAGTGAAAAAAATGAAAATGATGTGATCTAACTAATTGCTGGCCTCCTTTGGTTTCAATTACTACAATAACATTGATTACGGCTCCCACCAAGGAAAAATTATCCACTCATGTCTGGCGTATATAATAGCATTTTCATATGAAATATCTTAATATTTGCTCTCTCTCTCTCTCTCTAAATTAACGTTTTTGGAATTATTGAAGATTACTTTTTAAGCGAAATTGTTTTCTTCTAGTTCTTTTTTACCCTTTTTAAGATTTAAGAGAAACATTCTATAAAAAGAATTGAATTTATATATAGACTGCATAATAATATAGGTAAAGCTTGGCCTTATCATCAGTTCGTCAATTCAAATTTCCTTTAAAATTAAGTTGCGTAATAAATACTTAAAAGGCACGTAGCATCTTGGCACAAATGGAGATCAAGTTGCTACTTTGTGTTCCATTACATACATCAAAAGGGAAAATAGACATCGTATACTACAAACAACATTTTCGTCTCATTCTCAATCGATCAATAGCTCGCGCTCAAAATTTGTTAGAAAATAGTTATTCTAAAACTTGGCCAGAAGAGTAATTTTGGAAATCTGATCTGTACGGTTTCAAGAATGGAGAAAGCATACCTAATATGTTCTTATCGATATCATGTTTGTATCATGAATCACGACATGTTCTAATTTGGCACGTAGTTACTTTCCATCCAATAAAGACATTAGATTTGGAAATCTTTACCCTAACTCTTTTTAGTTGTTGATATATGTTTATTTAACGATTATAAATTATTTGAATTTAATAATTAATTAATTTATATAGCTCAATAAACTAAACCATTATATATATATATATATATATATATTAAATTGGTGTTTAAATTATCTTATTCCGAGGGAAAAGCTTTTTACTACAAACTTTTCAAAACTATTTTTGAAAAAATGATTATTTTAAATAACTTCTTTCCAAAACATGTACTAATGATTTTAGTTTCATCAAAAAATAAAATACTATCGATATTTTACAACTTTGTATCATGTGAATAGATTACAAGTTGAAAATTAATGATTGTCACTGAGAATTTTTTTAATTTAATTGTCATTTTTAAAACTTAGAAGGCATTAGCTATATTTTTTTTTAAAATTTTATCTATATCCCTTGGTATCTCTACTAAATTAATTGAGATATAATATTAATAAAATGAAAAATAATTAAGTCAAATATAATTATATTTTCTCAAATTTAAGAATATTTAATGGATTTCGTTATTTTTAAACTTACTTAAGTATTAATTAGGCATCGAGCATAAAAATGTGGACACGCTAAGGAATTAAAGTTGGTGGTTTCGTGTTTGGATTCCAACAAGCAATTAGGTTCAGGTTGGTGGAGTACACCATACAAAGTATTGGGGAAGCACTTATTTACAAAAAAAAAAAAAAGTATTGGGGAAGCACTTAGAACAGTGGTGAAACAAATGGTAATTGGTGGGTAGGCATAAAGTAAACAAACCACGTTCTCTTTTGGTAAATAGCAACATTACCGTGCATATAAATATAATGTAGGGCACTTATATATGTGGCTGAGATTTGATTCCATAATTATCTCTCAAAACACATAACGAAATTAATAAAGATCTTACTCGACATACATGATTGCCCACTAGCCAGTAGTGGTTAGAGATTTGGAGCAGTCAACCTTGACACATTGTTTCTTCTTCCCCAGTGTCTCGTGCAAAATCGAAACAGCCTCGTTATTTACATAATATAACTTTAATTTATCCAAAAAAAAAAAAAACTTTAATTAATGGTCTGCATCACTCTTTTTCTGGGATTTATTCATATTCTTCCACCCAATATACGAAGGAATAGAATGCGGGCATGTATCAATCTTTCTCAAGTCAAATCAGTGCTAGGGATATATCTGATTACGGTGCCAAGGGACCAGAGAAATTGGCATATTTCTCATTTATATAGATATTCCTTTTGATTGATATATATGTTCTGCTCGTATTTCTTCCCAGTATCCAGCACTTCTAGCTAGTACACGACAGATGGGACTTTGTACTTTGTACATTTAAGTTATGTTGGTGCGTTTTAGTTAAGTTACGCCTAATTAAAGAGTGATTTTGTGTAATAAATCAATTGGCTGTATGTTAAGTTTTGTTTATTTGTAAAACAAATTAGCTAAGAAAAGAAAAAGCCATATCATGACGGGTGGAAAGGGTGATATCATTAAATACGCGTTACGTACGAAGAACTGAAATAATTTTAAAACATATCAGCGGGCATATGTACTCTGACGCAACATATAAAAATAATTGATTGATTTTTAATCTTCCAATAAAAGAAATAAGTGATTTTCCTTTTTATATAATTAGTTCTATATGAGCTCTAATTTTTGTCTCTAAATGATGCAAAATCGTGGACCACGTCCCTAGCTATAATTTTATTTTTATTTTATTTTCTTCTAGCTTTTCATAATTTTCTTGTTTTGTTTTGTTTTAAAAAAGAAGGTAAACAAAAACAAGTACGTTCTATTTGTCTTACTACTCTCGTACTTTATTTTGGGAGATAATTCTATTCGAAGAGGGACTATTCACATTATATTAGGGTTAACTCTCTCACTAAAATTTTTTTTACATTCACGAAAACTTGAACCTAAAACATTACTTAAATACTCAAGTGTGGTGGCTCAGTTGGTAGCATGAGGACTGAGTGGTGGAAGAAGACTTCGGTTCGAATCCTACCAACACTATCTGGGGAGGGGTATAAGTACCGTAATCTTTGGACTCGCACCCGAACTCTGGATTAGTCCCATAGACAGCTTAAAGAGTCGAACTCGTAGGGATACCGGAGGATTCTGATTCGCCTCAAAGAGAGGTAATTAAGATCAGTTCCCAAAATAAATAAAAAACATTCTTAAATAAAATTAAATATATACCACTTAAATCAATTGGTTATTTTTATGCTTTATTTTCTTCCGGCACTTTGATACTCACAAGAGACATATCATAATGCGTAGAAGTTTCCAACACATCGTGTTTGCTTAGTGACTTTTAGTGGGGAGTGTATTTTAATTATTTTAGATATGAGTAACTTATTATGAGAGTTAGATGAATAAATTTAAATCAATAATTTTTATATTAATACTCAAATAAACCACTCACCTACCTCTTTCTCTTTCTACCGCCGGCAAAATGGGCTCGGCTCGACGCGTCAATCTGCCCAACCCGTCAAACGGGGCGGGACGGACTGAAATTTTCAACTCATCTCAAAAGCGGGGCGGGGCGGGGTAGGCTCATTTTTTGGCGGGTTGATGATGGACATAGGCGAGCCGAGGTGGATCAGTGTAAAATAGGCTCTGGTTGGCGGGCCAACCCGCCAAACGGGACGGGACGGGTTGAGTTTTTCAACCCACTTTCAAAAGCAAGACAGTGTGGGCTGGCTCATTTTTTGGCCGGTTGATGGCGGGATGGGATGGGCCGTCTACTTTGCCACTTATATGACTCTTTCTCTCTCTCTCTATATATATATATATAGAGATTTGGCTCAACTCCATACTAATTTCATGAGGAAATAAGCAATGTTAATTTCTATCAATTCTTATAAGTTATAACTGTCCAATATAAAATATCAACATTGTTAATTTACACCATTAAGTTTGGAAGTTAGCGATTACCAACATTGCTTTTTTATATATATATATAT